GGGGGGTAGGGAAGTGCACAGGATTATGGTGATGGCACAGGGTGACTTGGTGATGGGAAACCCACAGGGATTACAATTGAGATGAAAAAAAAAAGTACAAAATGATGTAAAAATAAACTATTGTATAAAAAAATATGGGCAGACTATTTGGATACTTCACCAAAGAAAATCTGCACTTGGTAAGTAAATACACAAAAGACTGTTCAACATCACAGTCATTAGGAAAATGTCAAAGTCACAATACTTTCACACAGCAGCAGATTGGCTGGCATGGAGAGCAAGTTCAAACACTGGCAGGAAGCAGAGCAACTAGAAGCACCATACGCTGCTAACTGGCAGTCTAACAGTCTAGCAGACTGGTTCAACCTTTTCAGAAAACAGCATGGTAGTTTCTTAAAATGTTGAACATAAAATTATCCAACAAGTTGGCATTCCACTCTTAGGCAGATACCTATGTGAAATAAGCCATTAAGCACTCTAATAGCCTGTATGCAAATGCCTATGGTTACTTAACTCATCATTGGTCAAAACCCCCTTGGAAATAACAAATGCTTTTCAATAACCAATGGCTAAACAATTACAGCCACAAAATGGAACACCGACAACTACAGGGATGAGTCGCAAGTGCAGTGGAATTCAAGTGAAAGAATCTAGGCTTAATGTCTACCTTGTGGGGCGGTTAAGGTAGGGCCAAGAGTCTCAGGGACAGAAAACAGGTTAGTAGTGACCTGGAGTAAGGGGTGGGGGAGGCCCACAAACTTTAGGAGGCAGAAGAGATTTTTTTTTGTATTCTGTGTCTTGTGATAGCTGTGTGTGCGTTTTTCAAATTATAACTCGACAGTGAAAAGGGTACCTTTAGCTGTATGTGAGATGTACCTCAACAGGAAAACTAGAGGTTGAAAAAGTTGTGAACTTGGGGACCAGGATCATGGATATTTTGTGTTAACCTGTATTTGATGGTCATTCATTTATTCAAAAAATATAAAAATTTTAAAAAGATTTATTCATTCATGGGATACAAGGAGCAGTGAGCGGCTTCACCAGAGACAGGTTGGGGAACAGAAAAGGCTGACTGACATGTACGCTGCTGAGGGGAACAGCCGGTGGGTCAGGAGAGGTCTGCCACGTCATGTGGATCACCCCCGCCCCGCCCAGCGGCCCGAGGCCCCACGAGACCCCACAAGGCCCCACGAGGCCCCACGAGGCCCGACAAGGCCCGACGAGGCCCGACGAGGCCCGAGGCGGAGCGGCCCGCCTGCCTGGGAGCTCCTTACAAAGAAGTAAGACAAACTACAAAACACTGCTGCACTCCTGGAGTAACCAAGAGGTCTCCTGTGTGCTGGAGCAGCCTGGGAAGGGGGCTCTAAAGAGGGTTTCAGAGAAACCAGGCTGCTGACTGTGCACAGCAATGGCCACACTTTGCTTTAGTCCTGTAGCTGCTGCTCAGATTTGAAGTTATGTGTCTGTGCCCATTTCTACAAATGGGCAAGACGGTGCTAACTAACCCTTGCCCAGGAGAAGTAAGGTGGGTGAAGAGGAGGGAGGGGGTGGCAGTCTAGCATGGCGTGATGCTCAAAGGGCAGATACTTTTGTGTGTGTGACATTTTAGTATTATCAGGGTAAATCAAAGTAAAAATAAGAAAGCTCATTCTCTGCTGAAAATAAGAGACATCTTCCCCTCCCTTTTCTTACAGCATTTAAAAAATACCTTGTGTTTGTTTCAGTTCTTTGGAAGGTAAATACATCTGTTTTTTGTTTGTTTGTTTGTTTTTTAAGATTCATTTATTTATGGATGCAGAACCAGGGTATAGGCCAGAGGTGCAGGGACAGTGAGAGGATTCACCAGAGGCAGAGTGGGGAGCAGAACAGGCAGATCTATGAAGTACACTGCTGAGGGGAGCAGCAGGTGGATCAGAAGAGGTCTGCCGCGCCATGTGGGTCATCTCCCAGGAGGGGATCTAACTAACACTGAAGCAGCAGCTTACAGTGCTGCATCCTAACATGTTGGGCCACCAGGGAGGGCCCAGATACATCTTTTTCTTTTAAGTGGAAGTCACATTGCATACATATCAGATATTTAGCATTAACCATCCCCATATATAGTACATTAAATTCCACAGTAACTCTTGTTAAGGCTGAATAAGTAACCCAGGAATGTTTCTACCAGGACTTGGGCATCTTGTCTTTGGGAAATCGTCACAGAGGAGGTTAATGTTTGGTCTCCCACTTCCTTGAGAGAGGAGGAGCCTGATTTCCACAGGTGCCTGCCTCTAAACTACACAGCTCCAGCCAAAAGCTTAGAGGAAGTTTTTTCTCTTCATGTTAAGTAACATTATCAAATGAATTTGGTGTGACAATTGGTGCCAAGTCTTTTTATTTGAGAATTAGTAATTATTTATCTTGAGAAAATATGAACAATGAATCATATCTGCTTGGCTCTACAGAAGGGTGTGACTTCTTTGTGCCATCTCATAGCTACTTGCCTGTGATTCAAATCACATGCTGCTTTAATGCTTACTCATGGATAACATTGTTTTCTTTTTCTTCTACATGTATGGATTTTCTCTGGTCACAGGAGATTTCATTTTTAATTCTATTTATCCAACAACACCACCATTCAATTTTTAAAGTTAGTCTTAAGTGTTAAAAATCAGGAGTTTCCCAGTTTGCAGTCCTAACTAATCTGGAAATGCCCTAGTTTGTTTTTCTCTTTATCTGCAGGCAAAGTTATTTCATCTTACCAAGATGAATAACTACAACCAGTTGTTGGAACACCTTTCAAGTTATCTAAGATTTCCCGGGAATAGAAAATCTAGGATAACATTCAATGGACTACTGTCTTATATACGGAAAAATTGGGGTGTTTCTGTGTGAGAGAGAGACAACCAGATAGACAGAATATGACGGTGTTCTTAATTACAGAAAAATATGGAAAATGCCGTGCAATCTAAAAGGCCTCTCTTTAATGGCCTTGTACATTTTACACTCTCTAAAGACCAGTAGCTGGGAGTCAGTTTTTCAGCAAATGGACATGGCGCTCAGCCAGGGAGCAGGGCTGTTCCCTTCCTCACTAGCATGACTTAAGCGTGAGCACACAGCCTGCCCCGTGAGTGACTGGCTTGGTTCCAGTGTTGGCCAAAAGCTATTTTGAGTCCAGAATCAACAGGGGTGAGAGGTAAAGATCAATCAGCCAATTTAAGGACTGGCTTTGCTCCTTAACTCTCAGGCTTCAGTTTTGCTCAGGCCACTAGGTGGAGACGTTGAGGTGTGGAAATGTTGACTGTGATTCAGGCATATTTATGATGCCTGTGTAAGGTTGTGTGACATTTATGATTTTCCCGTTGCTATTTGTGAAACCAGCTCTGGATAAATAATCTACTTCCACTCCACAAATGTAAGTGAAACAACATATGTCTCCTTGTCGGTGCTTATCTCACACTCAGATGCACGCGAAAAGATGTGAATTAAATTGGAAATAAAAGCCTGCGTGTTTATAAACCTGTGGTGAAATCACAGGAAGTTTGAGTTAGAATCCTTTTATTTTCTTTCCAACCCTTTGGCATTACTGGAGACAACGAATGCCAATATAAAAACTGTTTGGCTATACCTTTAATAGATAAATATAATCATATATTTATAGATAGATAATATAATCATAATGGCCATTTGCTCAGTAATCCTCATATTGTATTAAGTGCTTTCCATAGTCTCTCATTTGCTCCTGCAAGAATTCTATAAGATAAATATGGTCACTTTTTTTTTTTTAATAGATGAGGACACCCAGGCTCAAAGAAGTTAAGTTGCCCAAGGAGCCCCCAAAGGTAAGTGACAGACCTAGGATATAAGTTTATGCGTGGACTACCCAGTGTCCTAGTCACTAAATACTTGTTGAAAGATGAATTTGGCTTTGAACTCTGCTCTACATTATGCAAATGCATCTGGAAAGGCTGAAATATTTGTTTGCTTAAAGAGTATTATTGTTTCCCAATTCTTTTGAGACTGTCAAGTTATGAGCTTGTTTCAGCTACCAGAACAAGACAACTTGTTGGGGTAAGAGTGATTTCTTAAGCTCTTTCAGTCTCAGAGATGTGGGTGGGCTAATTCTAGCTCCACTAGTCCTTTACAGACTTCTGTGGTCTAAAGACAGGGGAAATGTTTATGGATAAGGAAAGATCACATATTAGACAACAGCTATGATTAGTGGGCAGCAC